GTAATGTCGGGACATCGTTATTGTGTAGTATGACTACCGCGAAACGGTTGCTGTATTAATGCTAATGTCAGGACATGGGTTATTGTGTAGTGTGGGTACTTCGACAGTTGCCCGTAGTTGAATTGTCAGGACATCGTTATTGTGTAGTATGACTACTTGAAACGGTTGCCGTATTAATGCTTATGTCAGGACATCGTTATTATGTAGTGTGAGTACTTCAGCAGTTACCGTATTAGTGCTAATGCCGGGACATCGTTATTTGGTAGTATGACTACTTAGAAACGGTTGCCGTATTAGTGCTAATGTCAGGACATCGTTATTGTGTAGTGTGAGTACTTCGACAGAAGTTACCGTATTGGTGCTAATGCCAGGACATCGTTATTGTGTAGTATGAGTATTTCGACAGTTACCGTATTAGTGCTAATGTCATGACATCGTTATTGTGTAGTATGACTACTGCGAACGGTTGCGTATTAGTGCTAACGTCGCTGACATCGTTATTGTAGTATGACCACTGCGAAACGGTTGCCGCATTATTAGTGCTAATGTCAGGATATCGTTGTATTGTGTATGTGTGAGTAGCTCGACAGTTATCGTATTAGTGCTAATGTCCGGGACATCGTTATTGTGTAGTGTGAAAGTACTTCGACAGTTACCGTATTAGTGCTAATGTCCAGGACATCGTTATTGTGCCGCGTGAGTACTTCGACAGTTACCGTATTATTAGTGCTAATGTCAGGACATCGTTATTGTGTAGTATGACTACTTGAAACGGTTGCCGTATTAGTGCTAATGTCAGAGATATCGTTATTATTAGCCAGTGTGAGTACCTCGACAAAGTTATCGTATTAGTGCTGTAATGTCAGGACATCACGTTATTATTGTAGTGTGAGTACTTCGACAGTTAACCGTATTAGTGCTAATGTCAGGGGACATCGTTATTGTGTAGTGTGTAATTGCCGACAGTTATCGTATTAGTGCTGTAATGTCAGGACATCGTTATTGTGTAGTATGACTACTTGAAGCGGTTGCCGTATTAGTGCTAATGTCAGGACATCGTTATTGTGTAGTATGACTACTTGAAACGGTTGCCGTATTAGTGCTAATGTCAGGACATCGTTATTGTGTAGTGTGAGGTACTTCGACAGTTACGGGATTAGTACTAATATCAGGACATCGCTATTCAAAACGGGGCTCACTAACACAGAATGGAAAATGTAATTGCAGAAAGTCACGTCCCTCCTTGTGAATATCTTGCTGATAAAATGCAAGTACGGTACTCCTTTAGTTTGATAACGATGTCAAGAATCTACATCGAAACGTCGCTCTATGAAATAAATCAAAGAAGCTGTCATCCATAAAGTTATATGTTTCATTTTGACTCACCAACGTCTTGGATGCCTATATCAGTATTTGATAAAATACAGGGATGATTTTTATTTTGGACTGAGATGTACAGAGTTCAGAGGGATTAAGTGGTGATGTCCATGCAATGGATTGGTATAGACATACAAAGAGAAGGATAGACATTGACTGGATATAAATTGATTGGAAGTCACTAATGAAAACAGTGGTAGGAAGACACCCATCAATGTGTGTACAGTGATTAGGAGCAACATGAGACATGTACAGTCAATTTGAAGGTTATTTTTTCGTTCAGATATTGGTTCACGTTTTGCCGAACTGGCTGATTCCAAACGTGCGGAAGGGTGTGGGTACAAAATAGCTTTGCCTGTTTCCGAAAGGACACTAAATAAAGACCACACAGATAAAGTCGTTGTTTATTGTAAAAGATGATATTTGGCTTGGGTTGATGGTTGCATGTATTATAATATGTCTGGTTATTTGATCTTTTGGTAGGAGAGATGGCGACCTCCCAGAAGTTGACAGAACATCTTCCCTTACATGTACCATATGTACAGAGGTGTTTGACAAGCCCTGTACGCTTGTGTGTAATCACACCTTCTGTCGGAAATGTGTCGTCAACTACACCAAAACCAGACCAGAAGCCTCAGTGCCAAGTCCTCCTGTGTCCATTCTGCAGGAAGATGACGAAAGGTGTCAGACCCTCGAGACCAGTGGAGGAGTGGGCGGATGACGTCAAGCCTATCTTTGTCATCCAGGGACTGTTGGACTCGTTTGGCCCCGGATCACTAAAGGTGAGTGTTTGTGGGTTGTATCGGTATACGTGTTCTTTCTAAACAGTTATCTACACACTTAATTGCATTTTGCGATTTAAGAATGTGTGCGATGTTGAGAAGATAGTTCGTTGTTTCTGTGAACTATCTAAAACCACTGACAATGTTATTTGAACGTTTTGTGTTTGAAAATATAATCCTGCGGTGTACGTATGCTTAACGAATAACAGAGTGCTAGAGATAACATGACTTGAGGGCCATGTATCGCTTACCAGTGGAACAAATCCAATAGTAACTATATAACATATCAACCTGAGACTGGTATATATATATCTGATTTTCTATATATCTTCATGTGAGTCACTTACATGATGCAACACACGAAGTACTATAATGCATGGTGATATCACAAGTTAAACAACTCCATAATGAATGAATGCATAACTATTTCAGATACGACTTTCTGGCCAGTTATTGAAAGGAGGAAGGAGACAACTCCAACTACGTCTTGGATTGTTCTGTTTGTGACGACACTATGTGAACGATGTATACGGGTGCACCAACGAATCCCCCTCTACCCGTCACCATGATGTAGTTGATCTGTCTGGAGAAGACAAAGGTCAAGGGTTAAAGAAAGGTCATGTGTAAAAGTTCACAAGGACGAGAATATCAAATATCTTTGCAAAGATTGTAAAACAGCTGTTTGTCAAACATGCTGCATTATCCATCACAGGAAATGTGACATGGTTGTTGTTGAAATTGAATCAGAGAATTCCTGCAATGAAAAACCGAGCTGAGAAAGAATAAAGAGATTTTGTTAAAAGAAACACTCTAGAGATAGAAACTTACATATTTGAAAAACAAACCTGCAAAGTCGATGAAGAATTGGCTTGTTATGTACAAACAGAATCGAAGATCCAAGTCTGCAAAGTCTCACAGCAATAGAGTGCGATCAAAGACAAGGAAACGGAAACTTCTGTCTGAACTGAAAGACATGTCTGACAGACACATTGGGCAACTGGAAGGCAGACATAAAAGTCCAGGTGCGATGTCAGTACAGATGTACCAACAACAGACTGAGCCCTGATAAGACCAGGCTCTACAATCTAGAGTGACATGGATATTGTATAAGAGATGTATCAGGGATGTGAGGCCGGTGATGTGGAGGCTTCGTCGGAGTCGTAGGAGGTGGAAGGGAGAAGGGAAGAATAGACAGGATAACATTCAGACATTGGGACACAGACAAGCTGAGTAGAGCACTGGAAGAGATCTCTATCTGGGCGAGATACACGTCCAAGTAGTAGAACGCAGTGCTGCTGGACCTGAAGGCTGCTCCCTGTATTTACAGGACACAATTGCAGCGACAGTAGCAGGAGATGAAGATGAAGGGATATTCCCGTGACGTAACAATGCTAGAGATTGAATGGTACAGCGAACAGTGGTGAGTTACAGACTACAACAACTTAACAGTGTCAAAGTCCTTCTACAATTCACAGGAACAGTCAGCCAGGTGACAGCAAGCTCAGTCTGGAACGTAGTCCATGTGGTATCACAAGGCTGAAACACAACCAGGTGGCTGTCACTGTGCCGGATACTCAGTCAGATTGTAACAGTTGAAGTGAACCCTGACCTGGTGCTGTCGACCATCACAACCAGCAAACGAGGTACTGCTGGGGTATAACGTCTCACGACACCATCAACACTAGTAAAGGCAGCAAGGTTCCGAGTCCCCTCCTGTGTTGATATCCTGGATATGTCGGGACAGTGTTGAGAGCCGTTTTTCTCTACCACAGAGGTGGAGACATCTTAAAATATCCCTACTTCCTCTGGCCACCACGAGGACAGGGAAACATCCTGGTGTCTTGACTAGGGAACCAAGTGTGTCGTGTGTCTGGACCCTCGAGGGAGATGTGGTGTTCAACTACAGACCTACAGGAAACACAGCACTGATGAATCCACGTGGTATCCTGACAAGTACCAGCACAGAGCATTTATCCTGGTGACAGACTACTCATCACACAGAGTCATCCATCTGACAGAGTCAGGACAGCTTGTTAGAAACATACCGACATGTTGGCTGGTGTGTGTGGTATCCACGGGGACTGTGTGTTATGGTCGTATGTACTTGTGTACATCAAATGGAGTGAAAGGTGGTTACATGTAGAGTGGAGTGAACATATCCTAACTTTCTTTCTTTCAATAAACTTGGTCAGGGGACAATAACTTGGGGATTCATGCGTAATGCTATATGTCGCTGTGTGTTTACCTTTAAACAGTATTCCACCGGATAAGATAAAATCACATTATTCTCTATTGTTTGAGTCCACTAATATAGTTTGTATTATCTGAATGGAAATGTGCTTAAGATTGAATCAGACGATGTCTTCGCACATGATATTTCATTTAGTGTAATCTACACAGCAAGAACTCTGATGTTTACTTAGCTATTGTTTTTCCACTCATTAATTATCTGTTATTGAAAGATATTCAGACGTTTCGGCGGATCACAAAGATCCAGACAGAGATTGTCACCGTTCTATTTCCGGTCAAGTGCAACGTTAAGCTATGGCCCAAATCAAACCGGTGTTGTATAGGCAGATCATATTGCCACGGAGCTGGAAAACAGCTCATCCAGTTTAGCATTGCTACCAAACTTTGTCCCTGATTTCTGCACTTATCACCAAGGTGTGGGATCAGGTTGTTCTGACAAAGCTACTTTGAGCCTCCGAAGAGTCCTTGGGCGATAATGACCGTTTGCAGCTTCGACTCCTGAGAGTTTCTAGGACGTCAGTCCCTGTCCCACAACGAAGAACTTATGTGATACATGTGTGGTTTCACCATAGGCACGATGAGAGTCGAATCCATGAGCGACATGAGGCCAATGACTACAACCGGACAGCTCTGATCATGTATCCTTTGCGGCCGTCAGATTGTCGATAACATATGAGCTCTGATCAATGCGGAATCGTTGAGACCGTCCAGATCTCTGGGTAATTTATAGCCTAATTAGTCTTCCCTATTACGCTGCACTTATAGCTCGATCGTGTGGAATATTAGGGCCGTCACATTATCTGGGCAGTCAACGATTTGATCACGTTGAATCCAAAAATATTAGCCAACCCCGTAACGCGGACAATTTGATTACGTTGAATTCCAGATGCTGTCAGGTCGCTGGAAAATTCGGACAATTTGATCACGTTGAATTCCCTGATGCTGCCAGGTCGTTGGAAATTGGACAAGTTGATCACGCTAATTCCGGATGCTGCCAGGTAGCTGGTAACTGGACAATTTGATCACGTTGAATTCCGGATGTTGCCAGGTAGTTGGAAATTGGACAATTTGATCACGTTGAATTCCGAATGTTGTCCAAAGGTCGATGGAAACTGGACAATTTGATCACGTTGAATTCGAATATTGTCAGGTCGATGGAAACTGGACGAATTTGATCACGTTGAATTCCGGATGTTGACAGGTCGTTGGTAATTGGCCACCAACCAACGCGACGACCTTCACGCATGCATTAACCGCTCCTGCAGCTTGACTAGGGGGACGCCGCCACCAAGATAAACGTTCTCATCTCAGACGCCCCTGCTACCCATGGATGCGGTGGCGGTCGTATTAGAGGAGGCGGGAGGGGATGCTCTAACAGATGACTGTCTTGGCTGAACCCACTTGCGTTCACCTGCCAGGTGGTAGACTGACATCTAGTCCATCAATTGAATTTTCCCTTTTTTTAAAAACAGTCACTTCAAATGGTTGTCTCTGGTCGAAATCCTTGATTTTTGCACGTCAATCTCTAGGGTTTAATATTTAATGGTTTAAATGATAATTTCTTAAACATATTACTAAAATTAACATACTGAGCCCCTCTAACACCTGCATGGCATCCATATACTGTTCGTTTGTCTACACATGCCTCTTTAAAGAATGATAGAATTACTATATACATGTCGAGAGGTGGTGGGTAGCCTAATGGTTAAAGCGATCCGCTCGTCACGCTAAAGACCCGGGTTCGATTCCCCATGGCTACAATGTGTGAAGCCCATTTCACGCGTGTCCCCACCGTCATATTGCTGGAATATTGCTAAAGCGTCGCAAAACCATACTGAGCTCACTCCTCCACAATACATTCATGGGCTGAACATTCAGTACAGCACATGCCACTACTATACTGGGACCTACGTCTTTTATTGACTGCCCATAGGTTCTGCAACCACCAATAACTGACACCAGATGGCGCCTGTATCATATTATCACATGTGACACGCTGCCTCGTTGAACATGCATACAGCTTGTGTACGCTTTTACATATATATCTGGGACTTGTTTCACAAAGCTGATCGTAGCGCTCTACTGACTGTCGGACTAGTTTACCTCGGTTTCGTAAAGCTTCCGTCATGCTTACCTATGGCTCGGGGACAATTTTCTCTGTACCTGAGGGACATCCTGTGGCGGTACCAGTAAAAAAATGTACCCGTGAAGATCCGGGTTAGAACTGGTCTTCAGTAACCCATGCCTGTCGTCGTACGAGGCGACTAACGGGATCGAGGTGGGTCAGACTCGCTGATCGACTTGGTCAGTAGCTCATGTTGTTTATCACCGGATTATTCTGGTCCAGATTAGAATATTTACAAGACCGCCGCCTGCTGGAATATTGCTGGAGTGCGGCGTTAAACAACAACCAACCGGAACAACGTGCGTCACTGAATGTTTTTCGAGGGTATGCGGAAACAGCCGAAGCGATCATTAACGTTTAGTGCCGTAGATTGGACTTATCATGTCCAGTAACATATTCTGCAAAGCACTGTAATGGTTGATAACACCTGGCTAGATATCACACAAAGCATGACATCTGCTGTCAAAGCCAATTTTGAATGGAAACAGTTCTCCCACCGTGAAACCAGGCAGCTTACAACACCGGCAGACAAACACATCTAAAGAGCTGGACCAAGACCAGGTAAATGAAACAGTCATGAAATATGTATCACATATTTCTTGGGTTGTAATCATTAAATTATCTGAACCGTAGAATCCCCAGGATATTTGGCACCGTCTGAATAAACAACAAGATGAAATTCCATTTCGTGACCAACTCGTGTTATTCCGGGACAATCGAGATATACTTGGGCCCGGGGCGAGGGCGAGTGGTGACGGAATGGAAGAAATTCTCTGCTGTGTGCCTTAATCGAAGGGACGCAACTCCTGACTGCTTAATTGAGCACCAGCACCAAGAGGTAAAATGTTGCGACCCAGAGTGTATAGGCGTTTTATCACAGGAAATAAATGAGCTGGCCAAGTCACACGTTTAAAAGAGAGAGGTAAGATACGGTCAATATCTAGACGTCTCTCCAAGACGCCAGGCAGTACAATAAGCGTCCGACCGAAACATTCCGCCAATGAAATATGTTGTCTTTAAATTATATGCTTAATAACAATGCTGTTATTCCTGGCAACTGATTTCTAAATATGTGGAGTTTACAAGACTGAAGTACATTACGAAGATGTTTGGAGCCGGATGTTTTACTGTAGATGAGACTAAGGAGACATTTGATGAACGTATCATCTTATCCACTCTCTGTCGAGGTGTATATCTTAATACATAATTTACTTTCTCAACGAAAAAAATAAATTACTGGAACCAAGCTGCAGAAACTATAAGACGCATATGCTTTTGCGGTGTTATAAAATTAACAAGCTGTCAAGTGAGTTTGGGGATCACAGCATAGGCGGATCCAGTGTGTGTGTGTGTGTGTGTGTGTGTGTGTGTGTGTGTGTGTGTGTGCGCGCGCGCGAGTGCGTGCGTGTGTGTGTGCGTGCGTGTGTGTGTGTGTGCAGGGCTGCACTGCACCTCCCTTTATCCTGAGGGGTACCTTAGAGTGACCATTGAAGCCTTTGGTGAGAATGAAGAGTCACCCACTTCTCAATGGTGTGCGCGCGTGCACACTTGCACCTGCACACGCACACACACACACACACACACACTCTCCCTTTCTCAAAAGGCTGTATCCGCCCTGCATGGTGTTTCCGTACAGATATTCGGGCCACGGG